CTAACTGTTGAACAACCATCAATAGGAGGATGCTGGGACCCACCAAAAAAGATACCCCACATCCAAAGACAAAGAAGAAGCAATATGGTAGGAGGGGCATAAGCACCATAAAATCAAACCCCATACCTGTCAGGAAGGTGACCCACAAACTGGAGAACAATAATACCAGAGAAGTTCTCCACTGTTGTGAAGGTTCTGGACCACACCTCAGGCTTCCCAGCCTGGGAATCTGACAAAGGGACTGGGAATTCCTAGGGAATCTGGCCTTGAAAGTCAGCGGGATTTGATTACAGGACTTCCACAGGACTGGGGGAGACAGAGACTCCAGACTTGGAAGGCACGAACAAAACCTTGCACACACTAAGACCCAGAGGAAAGGAGCAGGGACCCAACAGAAGGCTGAACCAAAACTACCTGCTAGTGTTGGAGGGTCTCCTGTGGAGGCGTGGGTGGGCAGGGGCTCACCACAGGGGCGGGGGCACTGGCAGCATCAGGCCGGGAAGGTCCACGTTGGCCTAAACCCTCTTGGAGTTTGCCATTAACCCCACCATAGAGCCTGTAGTCCCCAGGCTGGGTCACCTCAGGACAAAAAGCTACCAGGAAGTACAACCCCACCTATCAGCAGATAATCTGATTAAAGTGTTACTGAGCAAGGCCCTGCCCACCACAGCCACTGCTAATGCTACTGCTACTGCTAAGTCACTTCAGTCGTGTCCAACTCTGTGCGACCCCATCCCTGGGATTCTCCAGGCTAGAACACTGGAGTGGGTTGCCATTTCCTTCTCCAGTGCATAAAAGTGAAAAGTGAAAGTGAAGTCGCTCAGTCATGTCTGACTCTTCGCGACCCCATGGACTGCAGCCTACCAGGCTCCTCCGTCCATGGGATTTTCCAGGCAAGAGTACTGGAGTGGGGTGCCATTGCCTTCTCCGGCCCACCACAGCAAGACCCAGTTTTTCCCATCACCAGCCCCTCCCGTCAGGAAGCTTACTCAAGCCTCTCAGCCTCCTCCAGCAGAGGGCAGACAGAAGCAAGAACCACAGTCCCACAGCGGCTAAAGCAAAACCATCATCCATGATGATGAAAAAGCAGAAAGTTATGGCCCAGAGTCCCAGATGAAGGAACAACATGTTGTTGCTTAGTCACCCAGTTGTGTCCGACACTTTGTGACCCCATGGACTGCAGCATGCCAGGCCTTCTTGTCCCTCACCATCTCCTGAAGTTTGCCCAAGTTCATGTTCATGGCATCAGTGATGCCATCCAGCCATCTCATCCTCTGATGTCCTCTTCTCCTTCTGCCCTCAATCTTTCCCAGCATTAGGGACCTTTCCAATGGGTCGGCTGTTCACATCAAATGAACAAGATATTGGAGTTTCAGCATCAGTCCTTCCAATGAGTATTCAGGGTTGATTTCTCTAAAGACTGACTCGTTTGATCTCCTTGCTGTCCAAGGGACCTTCAGGTGTCTTCTCGAACACCACAGTTCAAAGGCATCAATTCTTTGGCACTCTGCCTTCTTTACAGTCCAGCTCTCACAACCATAAATGACCACTGGGAAAACCATAGCCTTGACTATACAGACCTTTGTTGGCAGAGTAATGTCTCTGCTTTTCAACACACTGTCTAGGTTTGTCATCGCTTTCCTGCGAAGAAGCAATCGTCTTCCAATTTCATGGCTGCAGTCATCATCCACAGTGATTTTAGAGCCCAAGAAGAGGAAATCTGTCACTACTCTGAACTTTTCCCCTTCTATTTGCCATGAAGTAATGGGGCCAGATGCCATGATCTTAGTTTTTTAATATTGAGCTTTAAGCCTGCTCTTTCACTCTCCTGCTTCACCCTCATCAAGAGGCTCTTTACTTCCTCTTCACTTTCTGCCATTACAATGGTATCATCCACATATTTTGACATTGTTGATGTTTCTCCCCCATCTTGATTCCAGCTTGTAACTCATCCAGCCCGGCATTTCTCATGATGTGCTCAGCATATAGGTTAAACAAACAGGGTGACAGTAGACAGCCCTGTCATACTCCTTTCTCTATCTTGAACCTATCAGTTGTTTCATACAGAGTTCTAAATGTTGCTTTTTGACCCACATAGAGGTTTCTCAGGAGACAGGTAAGATGGTCTGGTATTCCCATCTCTTCAAGAGCTTTCCACAGTTTGTCATGATCCACACAGTCAAAGGCTTTAGCATAGTTGATGAAATAGAGGTAGATGCTTTTCTGGAATTCCCTTGCTTTCTCTGTGGTGTTGGAGAAGACTCTTGAGAGTCTCTTGGACTGCATGGATATCCAACCAGTCCATTCTAAAAGAAATCGGTCCTGAATATTCATTGGAAGGACTGATGCTGAAGCTGAAACTCCAATACTTTAACCACCTGATGCAAAGAATTGACTCATTTGAAAAGACCCTGATGCTGGGAAAGATTGAAGGTGGGAGGAGAAGGGGATGACAGAGGATGAGATAGTTGGATGGCATCACCAACTCAATGGACATGAGTTTGAGTAAACTCCAGGAGTTGGTGATGGACAGGGAGGCCTGGCGTGCTGCAGTCCATGGGGTCACAAAGAGTCGGATATGACTGAGCGACTGAACTGAACCTATGACCCAGTGAATGTTGGCAATTTGATCTCTGGTTCCTCCACCTTTTCTAAATCCAGCTTGGACATCTGGAAGTTCTTGGTGTGCATAAGGCTGAAGCCTAGCATGCAAGATTTTAAGCATGGCCTTACTAGCATGGGAAAGACGTGAAGTCGCTCAGTTGTGTCCAACTCTTTGCAACCCCATGGGCTGTAGCCCACCAGGCTCCTCTGTCCATGGGATTTTCCAGGAAAGAGTACTGGAGTTGGTTGCTATTTCCTTCTCCAGGGGATCTTCCCAACCCAGAGATCGAACCCAGGTCTCCCTCATTGCAGGCAGACACTTTACCATCTGAGCCACCAGGGAAGCCCTAACATGGGAGATGAGTGCAACATAAAACCTCAGAAAAACACTAAATGAAGTGGAGATAGGCAACCTTACAGAAAAAAAGAATTCAGAATAATGACAGTGAAGATAATCCAGGACCTTGGGAAAACAACAGAGAAGATACAAGACATGTTTACCAAAGACCTAGAAGAAATAAAGAACAAACAGAGGTGAATACACTAGAAGGAATCAATAGCAGAATAACTGAGGAAGAACAGATAAATAACCTGGAGGACAGAATGGTGAAAACCACTGCCGTGGAACAGAAAAAAAAGGGAAAAAAAATGAAGACAGCCTGAGAGACCTCTGCACCAACATTAAATGCACCAACATTCACATTATAGGGGTCCCAGAAGGAGAAAAGAGAGAGAAAGGACTTGAGAAAATATTTGAAGAGATAATAACTAAAAACTTCCCTACATGGGAAAGAAAATAGTCAACCAAGTCCAGGAAGCACAGAGAATCCCAGGCAGGATAAACCCAAGGAGGAACACACCAAGACACACAGTAATCAGACTGACAAAAATTAAAGACGAAGATAAAAGATTAAAAACAAGAAGGGAAAAACAAATGACATACAAGGGAACTCCCATCAGGCTATCAGCTGATTTCTCAACATAAACTCTACAAGCCAGGAGGGAATGGCATGATATATTTAAAGTGATGAAAGGGAAGAACCTACAACCAAGAATACTCTACCTAACAAGACTCTCATCCAGATTTGGAGAAATCAAAAAGTTTTCCAGACATGAAAAAGTTAAGAGAATTCAGCACCACCAAACCAGCTAAAGGAACTTCTACAGACAAGAAACACAAGAGAAGAAGACCTACAGGAAATAAGCTCAAAACAATTAAGAAAACAGTAATAGGATTATGCATATCGATAATTACGTAAAGAGTAAATAGATTTAAGTGCACCAACCATGAAGACTGGCTGGGCAAATGAAGATAGGTGCACATATGCACTTTCACTTATCACTCTGCTTGACCCTCCAAGTTGTATGTAATTATTTTATATTGTTAATTGTGTTCTCATTATGGCTTGCAATTTTAATTCTTTTGTGTGGCTATTGTGTAAACTAATATTCTTCACTAATGTGATTATGTAGCTATTAACTGTTTAACACCATTGTATCATGATTGGTCAACAGAAAAATAGAACTCTGTATCACCAAAGCTATGATTTAATAGGAAAACCTGTAATAGGAAAACCTGTAATCACTTTTTAAAATCGAGATGCAAATCAGAATTATCTTGAAATTTGTTTTTGAAAAATACAAATACCCAGGTATTGCTTTTTTTTCCTCCAGAGCTCCAGATGTTTCTAATGAGCAGTAATGTTTAAAAACAACTGGACTGTATGATGACCTTTTAGTTTGTCTATTTCATATTCAGTGCTACCTTTTCATTTAGTTTTCCAATTTCTCCATCTTTTCTGATGTTTTTTTCTCAAGTCTTTCTTATGCACAGTAGAAAAACTTTTGTATATGTATAAATAATATGTATTTTAGAAAATTTATCAATTTTTGCCTAAAAAATATATGACATTTTGATTCTACTTGACTTCGTATGGATAGAACACTAGATTTCTAATTTTAAAAAATAGATATGCAACATGCAACAAAGGTTTACTGTCTAGCACAAGAATTAGTATCTTGTAATAACCTATAGTGGAAAATAATTTCAAAAATAAATGTGTATAACTCAATCATCTTGCTGTGCATGTGAAACATTATAAGTCAACTATACTTCAATAAAAAATATACATATTAAGAAAAATATATACATTTATTTTCAGAGGTAGCATCCAGGCTGTGGTCAGACCTAATTGCATATAGATTAAATGCTAGAAGATAAAATAAGAGCAGAAATAGAAAGTAATACATAAATTTCAAGAGGGAATAATCATCAGTGGTTACTAATTATAAACATTAAAGCTGAAGTTTTTATGAAATTTTCTTGAGTTTCAGGTTTTTCTTAATTTGGAATGTCCTAATCAGGTACTTAGCATTTTTATCAACACACAGAAAAAATACCAATCTTTCACTCTTTAGTTTTATTAAAATAGGACTATTATTGTGATAATAGCATTGTAGTCTTTTTTATCTTTCAGTTACATAGTGAAATATTTATAGATGAAATTATACATTTAATATTTGCTTCAAAAATAACGAGTTATAAAAAGTGGATAGAAATGAAGATGAAAGATTGACTAAGTTGGTAATTATTAAAGACAGGCACTGAATTATTATAGGACTCATTCTATTATTTTGACCATGTTTGCAATGGAAGCACGTGTGTGTATATCTGAATTAATATAAATGTATAAATACAAATATTCATTTTATTTATTGACTGTGCTAAGTTTTTGCTGAGGCATGTGGGTTTCTCCAGTTGCAGGGCATGGGCTTAGTTGCCCCATGGCATGTGGGATCTTGGAGAAGGAAATGGCAACCCACTCCAGTGTTTTCGCCTGGAAAATCCCATGGACATAGGAGACTCGCGGGCTACAGTCCACAGAGTCTCAAAGAGTCGGACACAACTGAAGCGACTGAGAATACGGGATCTTAGTTCCCCAATCAGGGATTAAACCCGGGAAGGCAGGCTCTTAACCACTGGACCACCAGGGAAGTCCCCAAATACTTATTTTAAATGATAAAATGTTTAGCAGGGATTCTCTCCCACAAGATATCTCCTTTTGAAAAGGGGACTATACCTGGTCACTGTTTACGGGAGGACAATTCTACTTCCTGAACTTGGTCCTCAGCAGCCCTGCATAGAGAGCCTGCTCCTGCCCTCCTGCAGCCACTGGCATCTTCCTCATCCCCATCCTTAGCTATGGAGTCTACAGCCCCACATGGTTCCCGAGTCCAGTTGTAGATTTCATCAAATTCACTGAAATACTCAAAGTAACAATGACAGCATTTACATATGCTACCAGCATTCCTTAAACCCAAAATGCTTCAAAGATTCAAGTCATACACATTTAAAATACATAGAAAAATAACAGAATTTATACAAAGTAGATTTTTACAAAACAAGTACATTACAAGAAATATATCTTATATCCAAGCACAAAAAATCTGGAAATATACATGAAGTATACATTTAAGAAAAAACATTTATTTTTAAATGCTGGGTGGGAGGGCACAAACGGAGTTCTAGTTTACAGTATAACTCTGAAGAGAACTTCAATTTGCTAGCAGAAATTTTCACTCTATTCTCAAGCTTCTAAACAGTTCCTGATGGGATTAGACGGCTGTTCCTCTTTCCAAATTCTGCTTAATTTCAGCTGTGTATTTCCCATAGAATCTTTCTGCCTTCTTGTTGAATTTAGCATTCCTTTCATTAATGTAGTCAATATCTGCATCATCATTATAAGGACGTCTCCGGCTGTATTTGTCTCGTTTTTCAATTCTGGGAGAAGAAAATAAATTTCAAAACTGCCTTCCTTTTTGGTATTAATAAAACATGGCAAAAAATAAAATCAGTACACTTAAACTAGCACACTTTGGGGTGGGGGAGCCCAGTTTTCATCAAGATGAAGTTGAAACTGCCAATTAACACCACATCCCTGGGTATGAACCATGAAATTCACTAAATAAAAACAAATCTTCAGAATGCTTCTAAAAGAACAATGATACACTGCCAGAACTGGATACATGAAGGAAATAATTTATAACAGTAATTATATTAATAATTATAATTATAATTATATTAATAACCACAGCTAACATGAACAAAGTATACAGTATATACTAGACACTAATCTTAATACTGAAGTGTATGCCCTCCTATAAATTAAATTCATTTTGCTCTGCCTGATCAATATCAGGAAAAACAACCCTATCAGTATTAAGAAACACAAATATATACTTAGGTAAATTTACTAGAACATTTATACTTCTTTAAATCAAAGAGTGCCACAGTTTTTAAAGTAGAAGAACAACTTCTTTAAAGAGAATAATTATATTTTCAATTAAAATAACTCAATTCCATCAATATTTTACATCTTCATTCCAAATCAAATGGACTCAATTCATACTTGGTCCCTGTCCCCAATACCACTAGAGATGAAAGGTCAGAAATGAGCGCATAGAATCTCTATCTTAATTCATTCTAAGCACCTATGTCCATTTTGTCATGAAACATTTGGTTAACTGGCTGCTGCATGGAGTACTCACTGTTTTTCCAGGTCTGTGACCATCCTGTCAATTTCCTCTGTGGAAGGCACATGTGTCCCATGAAGAAGACTGTTGGACGTTGGGAAAAACTCTTCTCCACTGAAAAGACAGCAACATGGACTTGGAATAACACTGCAAGTGCGCCACATTTTCAAACTAAACCACTATTCGTGAAGAGAGATAAAATACATAAATATCTTTACTGTGGGATCCTATCTCACCTTTTCTCAAAAACAAGAGAAAAGAGGATACAGAATTTTAAAGGATGAAAGTTAAGAAATCACCTAGTCCAACACCTTCATTCTACAGATGAAAGAGCCAAGGGTCAGAGGTTAAAGGACCTGCTTCCAGCCTCAGGTTCTCTTTCCACTATGGCAGGCCAGCGAATTCCAGCCTCTTGTTTATAGAAACAAGTCTTACTGGGACACAGCCCACCCATTTGTCTGTGACTACTCTATGGCTGCTTTCACACCACAAGGGCAGAGTGGAGTAGTTGTGACAGAGCCCAGACAGCCTATAAGCCGAAAATATTCACTTTCTGGTCCTTTACAGCTGTTCACCTATCCTGGCACTAAAGCAGTCTATCTCCCAAAATATGAGTAACTATGATAATCTCTCAGCACCCAGTTGCAGAATGCCCAGCTAGAAAGATAACCATGTGGTTAGCTTAACTGCTGTGGACGAGCAGTAAACAGTGTCATCAAGACCTGAAACTATCCTTATACAGTTGTTGAGGATTTCTCTGGTGGTCCAGTGGTTAAAAACCTACCTGCCAATGCAGGGGACACAGGTTTGATCCCTGGTCCGGGAAGATTCCACATGCTACGGAGTAACTAACCACATGCCCCGTAACTACTGAAGCCCACGTGCTCTAGGGCCCGTGTGCTGCAACTACTAAGCCTGAGCGTTGCAATGAATGAAGCCTGTGCACACAGAGCCTGTGATCCACAAGAGAAGCCCATGCACCTCAATGGACAGTAGCTTCAATGGAGAGTAGCTCCCACTTGCTCTAACTAGAGAAAGCCCACGTGCAACAAAGAACCAGCACAGCCAAAACACAGCAACAAAAAAACCCAGCTACTGATAATCCATACCTAAGCACTACAGTGAGTCTGTACTTATGTATATACATTTATGTACACACACAAGTTTTAATACATCAGTATCACTTCAGGATGAAAACAGGACTTGCATTAATCCTGTCAACTTACTGCTTTTCTCTCAGTCTCTCGTATGTTTCCATGTCTGGTTTGATCTGTTTGGTCAGTCTATGATACTGGCGAAGCTGGGCAGCAGCATAATCTAAAAATAAAACAAGAATTGGAAATGATATATTACCTTATCTGGTCATTACTATTCACAGAAAAATCAAAATTATTAGCATAGCCTTTATCCTGAAGATCCTGCCCAAAGAGGCTTTAATTTTAGCATACTGAGTAAAGGTATCCTGCTGATTCAAGTACAGCCTTTTTCACTTCTGCCATATGTGATATATTTGTATTTTTCTTAGGAGTAGGTCTCTTACGGACTATTCCAGGAAGGGGCATATCCTTTCTTAAAGCCAGAAACACTGAAAGCATGCTTATCTCAGAGGCCTGTAAAGGTCAGTCTTACCTGAAAATCCCAGGTCAGGATTTTTCCTCCTCTTTTTTCTCTCCCATCTTTCTGCATCTTCTGCACTGATTTCTAGCAACTTCACTTTCTCATAGTCTTCCCCTCTTGCTGCACATTCCTAAAAAGAAAGGGAAAAAAGCTAATGCTTGCCCTTATGATACAAGCAATTATTTGATCTATTTTAACTGAGTATGAAGCAATATATTTAAAATAACCATTACTATGTGAAGGAGAAACTTGGTTATCTGCTACTGTATATAAAAAGTGAATACATCAATCTAAAAAATAATTATTCAACATTCATCCAATGTCAGACCTGCTTTTAAATGTTCCAAATGCACTGACTCATTTAATTCATAATTAACTCAATTATTACAGATCCCATTTTACAGATGAGAAAACACAATCACAGGGAGATTAAATTACTTGCCAAAAGTGTTACAGCTGATAAACAGCTTTTTTTTTTTTTTTTTTACTGTCTCAATACAACAGAATAGACCACTTATGAAGACAGCAGAGCAGTTCCTAACCTTTTTCTTTTCTTCCTCCTGTAGTTCCCATTCCAAACGAGCTTTTTTGGCTTCCCAATTTGCAGGTAACTTAAGTCTTTTATCTTCTTCAACAACTTCCTGGTGATTTAATTTACGAGCTTCATTCTAAAACCATAAACACAAAAAGGTTGTTGGCTGAAACATAAAAACAAATCCAAACAAATTTTTTCCACTTTAAAGAAGGCCAAGTAGACCCATTAACCAGGGACTCCATTTATCCTAAAAGCAAGAGAACCATCAAAGGATTTTAAGCAAGGTCTTACATTTGTATACAGTCAAGAAATGTGTTGAGCTGTACTGGTGTGCTATTCCTGATGCCTGGGGGTTAATGTCTCACATTATGAAAAAAATATTCTACTTTCAATTCCCTTTTAATCCTGACTAATTCAAGGAAGAAGCCTCAATTTGAGGCTGGTGCTTTAATACCTATCATAGTATCTCTAACCTTTCCCAAGTATTCCTGCTCCTTAGATATTTTAGCAGTTTACATTATGGCAAATGAAAGGCACTCCCCATTTAAATTACTGAATGAAGAGTCTGTTTTAAAATAAATTTAACTACATAAACCAAAACAAGCACACTATCTCAGGGACAACTTAAGTTAGACGTTTGCTGGGTCACAGGCTGGAGGCAGTTAGTCCAGGAAGATGCGTCTCTTAATATCCAACCCCATGTTCTTTACACAGGCCCTCCAAGGAAATATGTGGGTTTAATTCTGTATTAAATTTTCCTGGGTAAAGAAACAGACTTCTCTGAATGTGTCATTCCTGCCATCCAGAAACCAAGAACACACAAGTGGTCAAAGCTAAATCTGCTACACTGAAGGAAACAGCAAACCATGGGGAACTGGAGACATTTCAGTGAAAAGGTGTTAGGAGGAGCTACTTATAGAATTTGAGTCTGTACCAGGTGACTGGAGGGAGAGGTTCAAGGAAGCTCTGGCTTAGGCAGGGTCAGAAAGTCAGGCATACTATGATTGTTTTTATGAACATACTTCAGTTCTTATACAGGAGGCAGGAGTAAGGGAGTGAGGCTAGTGCTGTATTTATCACTGGTGTTAGCAGAAGACGGTGCTGTGTGGTCATTTCTGTGGTTTGTACAGCTTTGCTTTTGTCACACTGTGGTAGTCTGAGTGTGGGTGAGGATTTTGTGAAACCATGGCCAAGCTATCAGTCAGGATGCTTTGAGTTGAAACAGTCAAGAGCTGCTTTTTTGTTTCTTGGCCCCAACTGCAGCCAGCTGTTTGCTGGACTCTTATCCCTGATATGAATTCCTTTCCTTTGCATGTGTTCCCTCTGTTTGGAAGAGTTCACTGGAGTCATACTGCAAAGAGGCTGTTAGTGAGAGACCACCCCCCCCCCCCCCCCCCCCACAAACTCGAAAAAAGGTTTGGAGAAAGCATGTCCGTTTCCAAATGTGACTCCAATGCGCTGCCAGGTTGAGAACAACCGGGACAGAACTTTCATCCAGCTCTGCCGATCTGCCACACGCACAGATGCGCCTTCCTCTTCCCTCCACAAACTTGCACGGGCCTGGCCAGGTGACAAGTGTCAGGTGGTCTCCGGGACAACTCACCCGCTTCAGGTGCAGCTCCCGGAATTTGCGCAGTCTCTGTTCGCGCTTCTGGGCGGCCAGCTCCTCGGCTCCTGCGGGAGGCTGGGGCTCCTCTGCTCCACCCAACGGAACCTATATGGGGGAGGAGAGGCTGAAGTAAGGGCCGGTTCGGCTTCTCCCCGGTCAGCCCAGGTGAGCCCCCGCGGGCCGGGCCAGGCGCTCATCGCCGACCCAGGCCCCACATTATCTGCGCCTTCCTGACCCGGCACACAAGCACTTCCTCCACTTTTCGTCCCTGCTGCCCTCAGAACCTTCCCCAACTAAGAACCCTGGGTAGAACCAGCAACACGTACCGTCTCGGCAACAGTCGCAGCCGCCATCTCAAGCTTTCCTTGCTCACTTCCGGAAACAACACCCAGCACTTCCGCCGACCTTTGGACTGCCGGGTCAATATATAATAATAGCCTACCATAAACCCCGCCTCTTCCGGCAGCCTTAGGAATTTAGGACCAATCCCTGCCCTTTTTGGCAGTGAGACATTTTCAATTGGGCAGAGTACTGCGCAGCCGCAAAAGGCCTAGAGGCGGAGGCGGAGGCGGAGGCGGAGGCGGGGGGCGGTCGGGCCAGGAGGGTTTCGGTAGCAGGTGGGTCGGGGAGCATAGCCAAGGTAGGGGAAACTTGTGGAAAGTTACCTCAACTGTGTGCCTCACCCTTAAGCGGAAAGTGTTTTCCCTGCAGCGCTTAGACTGTGTCACCTCCAAGGCAGGTCTTCCCCTGACTACCTTGTCTCGCGTACACCCTTAGTAGTGTCGTATGGCACCGTTTTCGTTCTCTTCAATGTATGTAAGAGATTTTTAAGTCTGTTTTTTCCCCCCAAGGGTGTTGTAAATCGATGGGAGGCAGGTCAGGTGGTTTGGTACTCCCATCTCTTTAAGAATTTTCCAGTTTGTTGTGGTCCACACAGCCAAAGGCTTTGGTGTAGCCAATAAAGCAGAAGTAGATCCTTTGCTGGAACGCTCTTGCTTTTTTGATGATCCAGCGGATGTTGGCAGTTTGATCTCTGGTTCTTCCTCTTGGAGGAAGTTACCATTAGCCCCACCAGAGAGCCACCAGAACTTACACAGGACTGGAAAACAGACTCTTGGAGGGCACAAACAAAACCTTGTGTGCACCAGGACCCAGGAGAAAGGAGCAGTGACCCCACAAGAGACTGACCCAGACTTGCCCTTGAGTGTCCAGGAGTCTCTGGCAGAGGCACGGGTTGGCGATGGCCTGCTGCAGGGTTGGGGGCACTGAGTGCAGCAGTGCCTGCATCAACCTTTTGAAGGAGGTCGCCATTAATTTCGTTACCTCCACCATAGTTTGGCCTCAGGTCAAACAACAGGGAGGGAACACAGCCCCGCCCATCAACAGAAAATTGGATTAAAGAGTTACTGAGCATGGCCACGCCCATCAGAACAAGACCCAGCTTCCCCCTCAGTCAGTCTCTCCCATCAGGAAGCTTCCATAAGCCTCTTATCCTTCTCCATTAGAGGGCAGACAGACTGAAAACCTCAAGCACAGAAAACCAACCTGTCTGATCACATGGGCTACAGCCTGTCTAATTCAATGAAACTATGAGCCATGCCATGTAGGACCACCCAAGATGGACGGGTCATGGTGGAGAGTTCTGACAAAATGTGGTCCACTGGAAAAGGGAATGGCAAACCACTTCAGTATTCTTGCCTTGAGAACCCTATGAACAGTATGAAAGGGAGTAGTAAAATCAGTATATTTCTCAGACTTTCTTATTCCCAAATTACTGCTCTTTCCATCTTTACCATGTGGTTCCTTGAAGGCAGTAAAATAATACTTCACAGTATAGGTATAGGTGTTTACCTGAGCTCTTCTCCTTACTTGAAATCTCCCCATCACACACACACACACAATTCTTCTAGGGCGCACACACATACACACAATTCTCCTGTGGCTCCCCTCCTTTTGGGAAAGAGATGGGAATACCAGACCACCTGACCTGCCTCTTGAGACACCTAAATGCAGGTCAGGAAGCAACAGTTAGAACTGGACAAGGAACAACAGACTGGTCCCAAATAGGAAAAGGAATACGTCAAGGCTGTATATTGTCACCCTGCTTATTTAACTTATATGCAGTGTACATCATGAGAAACGCTGGGCTGGAAGAAGCACAAGCTAGAATCAAGATTCCCAGGAGAAATATCAATAACCTCAGATATGCAGATGACACCACCCTTATGGCAGAAAGTGAAGAGGAAATAAAAAGCCTCTTGATGAAAGTGAAAGAAGAAAGTGAAAAAGTTCGCTTAAAGCTCAACATTCAGAAAACTAAGATCATGGCATCTGGTTCCATCACTTCATGGGAAATAGGTGGGGAAACAGTGGAAACAGAGTCAGACTTTAATTTTTTGGACTCCAAAATCACTGCAGACGGTGATTGCAGCCATGAAATTAAAAGATGCTTACTCCTTGGAAGGAAAGTTATGACCAACCTACATAACATGTTGAAAAGGAGAGACATTACTTTGCCAACAAAGGTCCATCTAGTCAAGACTATGGTTTTTCCAGTGGTCATGTATGGATGTGAGAGTTGGACTGTGAAGAAAGCTGAGTGCCAAAAAAGTGATGCTTTTGAACTGTGGTGTTGGAGAAGACTCTTGAGAGTCCCTTGGACTGCAAGGAGATCCAGCCAGTCCATCCTAAAGGAAATCAGTCCTGGGTGTTCGTTGGAAGGACTGATGCTGAAGCTAAACTCCAGTACTTTGGCCATCTCATGCGAAGAGTTGACTCATTGGAAAAGACCCTGATTCTGGGAGGCATTGGGGGCAGGAGAAGGGGACGACAGAGGATGAGAAGGGGACAACAGAGGATAAGATGGCTGGATGGCATCACCGACTTGATGGACATGAGTTTGAGTAAACTCCGGGAGTTGGTGATGGGCAGGGAGGCCTGGCGTGCTGTGATTCATGGGGTTTTAAGAGTCGGACATGACTGACTGAACTGAACTGAACTGAACCATACAAGAAGAGAGGTAACTTCTATTTGGATTTGTTTCCATACCTCTGCTGAAAATTTTGTGTCCCTGTAGTAGAATGAGGCTTGAAAATTAAATCACCAAGAAATTGTGGAGGACAAAAGACTTAGATTACCTGCAAACTGGGAAGTTAAAAAAGTTTGTTTGGAATGGCAATTGCAGAAAGAAGAAAAGGAAAAACTAAGTACACTTCTCCCATCGACATTAGCTGCGGATTCAAATATTAGTGCTATGTTGCAGCAGGACAGAGCCTGGTATTTTAGTTAAGCATTAAGCGTTCCAGCTCTGGTTTCCTCACCTCTACCTTAGAGTTGTTAGAATAAAATATGTAAAACATTTACAACACTGCTGGCACATAGTTAGAGCCACATAATGGATATTGGTAAAAGGTTAAGCTACAGTAACAAAAGCTCCAATGATAAGAAAAGATAAAGCTCAGACTTCCCTGGTGGTTCAGCAGTAAAGAATCTGCCTGCCATTGCAGGAGACTCAGGTTCAACCCCTGGATTGGGCAGATCCCCTCCAGAAGGAAATGACAACCCACTCCAGTATTCTTGCCTGGAAATCCCATGGACAGAAGAGACTGGCAGGCCACAGTCCACAGGGTCACAAAAGAGTTGGACACGACTTAACAACTAAACAACAACAAAGACAAAGCCCATGAGGCTTTCAGGTATCAGTTCCCAGTTGAGCAGCCTAAGTCACCTGGCCTGATCCAGCTGCAAGGGACATTGAGAACTGGGCGGCCATGAGGTCAGAAAGGAGGAGAAAAAGGATTTTGATGGACACTTAATGTTTCCCCCAGAGTTATTTTTGGTGTCAGTGTTATAGATATATCACTTCTTTCAGAAATTCCACAATTTTTGTAAATTGGCCATTTTACTGGCTTGATGGCAGTCTTCAGGTTTTTCATATGAATCAAGGAAATATAAAAGGCAATGAAGTTAATGTTTTTCCCCCTCATTTTAGGAATGTGCAGCAAGAGGGGAAGATTATGAGGAAGTAAAGTTGCTAGAGATCAGTGCAGAAGATGCAGAAAGATGGAAGAGGAAAAAGAGGAGGAAAATCCCGATCTCGGAGTTTCAGATAAAATGGCTTTAACTTTACTGATTGAGCCTATTAATAGCCCATTTAAGAAGTCTAATAATATCCAGCATCTAAAATAGTCTGCGACCCATTTTCTTCAGATTATGCTGCTGCCCAATTACACCAGTATCATAGGTTGACTAAACAGATCAGACCTAACATAGAAACATATGAGAGACTTGAGAGAAAAGCAGCAAGTCAATGTGTTTTAAAAGCATACATTTTGTATGTTACTGGAAGGCCTTGAATTTAAGAGTACTGATCCTGGAGCTTTGCTTCCTGGCCTTGAGTCCTGTCTCCACCACTTACTAGCTGTGTCACAAGATTTTTCTCTTTCCTCATCTGTATACAGGGAATTACAACAGTGCTCTCTCACTTCATAAGCTGAGCAAAGAAAGATTAAATAAATTATAAAAAATAAATTCATACAACACATTAGATCAGTGCTTGGCATACAGAAGGCACTGTATATGTACTGGTATTATTTATTATCATGATTATTACTGTTGCTATTACACATTCCAAAGACAAGGGACACAGTAATACTTTCTATTATGTGCAGTAAGCAATGCTAAACTGCACTCCTTAATTATGTAAGACAGGTACTTCTGAGGTGGGTCTAGTGATAAAGAACCTGCCTGCCAATGCAGGAAATGTAAGAGATGTGAGTTCAATCCCTGGGTTGGAAGATCCCCTGGAGGAAGGCATGGCAACCCACTACAGTATTCTTGCCTGGAGAATCCCATGGACAGAGGATTCTGGTGAGCTACAGCCCATAGGGTTGCAGAGTTGGACACGACTGAAGCAACTTAGCACGCATGCACGTGCTAAAGATCAAACCTGTTTTAATAGAGATAGTGCAGTAGAGTGGAGAGGGCTGTAAATTGCGCTAAGCAGAGCATCTTACTCAAGATCTCTCACTGTATGAACTTGGTTAAGTTCATTAATCCATGGTCCTCAGCTAACTCATTTGGGCTCTGGAATAGGAATTTCTTAAGTCTGAATTCTATTTCTTTGAAATCAAATATAACCCCTAAGCTTTCCACTTTTGACCGCTGAAAACTGTCCAGTTCAAAAGGCATAGGATCTTTTTTTAACTTTATTTTGCATTTGAATATAGACAATTAACAAATACATTGTGCTAATTTCAGGTGAACAACGAAAGGATTTTACCATAAATATACATGTATCCATTCTCCCCTAAACTCCTCTCCCATCCAGGATGCCACATAACATTAAGCAGAGTTCCATGTGCTATGGTACAGAATCTTTTTTCGTGTTACTCAGCAACTCACTTT